ACGGATTTATAAAAAATTAGATAAAAAAATCCTTTAAAATTATATTATTTTAATAAATTTTTATTAAAAAAATAAATAACTTAATTTTTAATATAAGAATGATATTATTTTAATTATTTTAATATTTTATTAAAATAATATAATTTTAAAATAATTTTTCTCCTTACATTTTGTTAATTTATCTGCTAAGTACTAACTTCTCAATGAAATATGTATATCATATGAAATGAAATGGAAGAATAGGAACCAAAAGAATCGTTTCAATTTTTTTTTTTTCTTGTTTAATGCTAAGCTAAAGATTTTAAATTAATCTTTTTATATCATGTGTTTCACCAACTTAGTTATTGCAGAGTTCTTCGAATCCTGAGTTCAATTGTTTTACATTGTACAGGTGTTTATTCATCAAAGTTTACAATCAGGAACAAGTGCAGCAATCCAGTTTGGCTGGGGATTCTCTCTGGTGCCGTAACACCACATTTGTCCACCACAGGTTTTCCTCTCCCCCCAGGGGAATCCATATCCCTTTCTGTCTCAACATCCTGGTCAGCCAGTTTATGGGGACGGACTCTCTGCACCCAAGATTCCTCCGGTAAAGTCTCTGGTCTCACTGGAGATTTTGCCTCTTCCACTATGGCACCATCCCGTGGTGCCCCTGTTCCTCCTGCCACCTGTAAGGATAGGTTCAAGGTTAAGGACCTCGGATGTACCGTTATAATTCCTTAACAACCAAAGTGAAGCACTTCCTAATCAAACAGCTGCATGACAGTTACGGTGAGCATGCCCACGCCAGAATATCTCTTAATTTCTCCATCCCAAATTTATCTCCTTAAAAAACACGTCACTTTATTTCTTAAGGAACACGTTACTCTCCGATTATCTTGCTAAACAAGTCACGTGGATATCTCACAAAGGCTTACAAATACTCTTAGGGACCGCCTCAGAAAGGTAATTGAAACCAACCTTAAGCTTCTTTTATCTCCACTCTAAAAATAGCTTGATTATTGCTGATTTAAGCATAGAAGTGTCTATCTCGATGACTCGCCTTGGGGCTTTGAAGGTACATCCGAAATAAAGATGCGGACTGAAGAAGACTTCTGATTTGGTGCAATTACACCACCCTGGCCAAATTCACACTTAACGGTGCAGGAGAGCTTGATTTTTACGAGGTCAGTCTTGTGAGCGGCTATAATCTGCCAATGATGGGGGCCTCACACGGCGGGACCGGAGGGAGCTGCTCGTCCACCGGATGCGCCACTGACTTGAACGAGGATTGTCCGGTGGATCTTAGGATTATTGATGGGAGTAATGAAGGGGTGGTGGTCGTGGCGTGCAAGAGCGCTTATATATGATGGGTTCGGAGACGCCCAGTACTGCTGCAATGCATATGACGATGGGAGCAGCACATGCACCAGCACCGGCGCATCTTACGTCATTACTTTCTGTCCTGATCTTTCAACTGGGTAATTAAATTTTTATCCAAATGGCCAATTCAATTCCTTTTTCATGTTCTTAATCATTAGCCAATCAACTCAACAAGAGAAAAGTTTTTCTAAAAAAAATAAAATTATTTGTTTTTTTTTTTCCATAATGATGAGCTATAAAGAGGAATTACCTTATTTTTTTCTTAAATTTTTTCTTATTTAACTTAAAATTTAAATTTAAAATTTTTAATTTAGAATCTTATGAATATAAAATTGGGCACTCTTCAA